AGGCGACTGCATATTCTCCTAATCCCGCTAGGAGACCATCTACAAGTCTTTGGAAAGTGGCGGGTGCATTTCGCAGCCCAAAAGGGAGTACATTAAATTCATACAGCCCGAGATGTGTGATGAAGGCTGACCTTTCCTTGGCAGATTCATCTAGCGGTACCTGCCAGTACCCCTTGGTTAAGTCCAAGGTAGAGATGAACTGGGCCCGTCCCAGTTTCTCTAATAGTTCATCTGTGCGTGGCATTGGATAGTTGTCTGGGCGAGTTACAGCATTTAGCTTACGGTAGTCCACGCAAAAACGTATTTCCCCATCTGGTTTGGGAACTAGAACCACTGGAGATGCCCATGCACTTTCAGAGGGGCGGATTACACCCATCTGTAACATATCCTGGATCTCCCGTTCTATAGCAGTTTTAGCTTGAGGAGACACCCGGTAAGGTTGGACCCTAATTGGGTGAGCATTACCTGTGTCAATGGAGTGGTATGCCCGTTCAGTCAGTCCTGGGGTGGCTGAGAACGTTGGCGCGTAGCTAGTGCACAGCTCCTGGATCTGCTGTCGCTGCATACGCTCAAGGGTCATGGAGAGGTTCACCTCTTCCACACCACCAGCACATTTCCCTTCGTAGTAAACACCTTCAGGCCACTCAGCGTCGTCTCCTCCCTGGGCTGTAAACTGACAAACCTTTAATTCTCTGGAATAAAAGGGCTTTAGAGAATTAATATGGTACACCTTAGGCTTCCGGTTGGAGGTGGGGAATGCTATGAGATAATTAACAGCTCCCAGGCGCTCCTGGACCGTGAATGGCCCTTCCCACGATGCTTCCATTTTATGGGCCTGGAGCGCCCTTAAGACCATGACCTGGTCTCCTACTTTGAAGGAACGCTCTCTGGCATGTTTATCATACCAGGCTTTTTGCTCTTTTTGAGCATCCTGTAAGTTTTCTCTAGCAAGGGCTAAAGAGGTTCGGAGGCTGTTTTGTAGGTTGGTTACAAAGTCCAGAATGTTAGTTCCTGGAGAAGGTGTAAATCCCTCCCATTGCTGCTTCACCAACTGCAATGGCCCCTTAACCTCACGGCCATATACAAGTTCAAATGGGGAAAACCCTAAACTGGGATGTGGTACAGCTCTGTAGGCAAAGAGCAACTGCTGCAACACTAGGTCCCAATCATTGGAGTGCTCATTTACAAATTTACGTATCATGGCCCCCAAAGTTCCATTAAACTTCTCCACCATGCCATTTGTTTGATGGTGGTAAGGAGTGGCAACCAAGTGATTTACCCCATGAGCTTCCCAAAGGTTTTTCATAGTTCCTGCCAGGAAATTAGTCCCTGCATCTGTGAGGATGTCGGAGGGCCAACCTACCCTGGCAAAAATGTCTGCTAGTGCCTGGCACACACTTATAGCCCTGGTGTTGCTCAGAGCTACTGCTTCCGGCCATCGGGTGGCAAAATCCATGAAAGTCAGTATGTACTGCTTTCCTCTGGGTGTCTTTTTCGGAAAAGGACCCAGAATATCCACAGCTACTCGCTGAAATGGAACTTCAATGATGGGGAGTGGCTGGAGAGGGGCTTTGACCTGGTCTTGGGGTTTTCCCACTCTTTGGCACACCTCACAAGACTGGACATAGGTAGAAACATCCTTGCCCATTCCCTCCCAGTGGAATGACCCCCCCAAACGGTCTTTGGTCCTGTTCACCCCAGCATGGCCACTAGGGTGATCATGGGCTAAGCTCAAGAGCTTGGCCCGGTATTTAGTTGGAACTACCAACTGTCTCTGAGGATGCCAGTCTTCCTGGTGTCCACCAGAAAGAGTTTCCTTGTATAAAAGTCCTCTTTCTACAACAAACCTGGATCGATTAGAAGAGCTGAGAGGCGGTGGGTTGCTCCGTGCCGCCGTCCAAGCTCTCTGGAGGCTTTCATCTGTTTCCTGTTCGGTCTGGAACTGTTCCCTTGATGCTGGGGACATCAGTTCCTCATGGGATTGTGGACCTAGGCTTGGTCCCTCTGGAAGCGATATAGGGGATGGAGCTGTTTCTGTTGACTGTGAACCGCTCTCCGCTGGTGCACTGTGTTGGGATTCAGGCTCCGGCTGAGCCTCTTGTGTAGGGTTATCGGCTGCTGCCAGTTCAGGTTCGGTGGGGCCTTCTGGTGTTGAGGTTGCAAGTACTGGATTCAGTGCTGACACGGGGTCTGGTGTTGGTTGTTCGGCTGGTTCCGGTTCTAGGACTGGTTCCGTCTGGGTCTCTGGGACTGGATCCACTACTGCTGTTGCAGACATTGGCCTGGGGTCCGGGTCCATCACCTCTGACTGGGTCCTGATAGAAGTTTCCGGAACAGAGCTAGGCCTCACGGCTTGTTTAGCCTGGCTGCGGGTGACCATTCCCACCCTCTTGGCCTGCTTCACATGAGTGGCCAAGTCCTCCCCCAACAGCATGGGGATGGGATAATCATCATAGACTGCAAAAGTCCACATTCCTGACCAGCCCTTGTACTGGACAGGTAACTTGGCTGTAGGCAAATTGAAAGAGTTGGACTTGAAGGGTTGAATCGTCACTTGGATCTCTGGGTTGATTAAATTGGGGTCCACTAAGGAAGCATGGATAGCTGACACTTGTGCTCTGGTGTCCCTCCACGCGGTGACCTTCTTCCCGCCCACACTCACAGTTTCCCTCCGCTCCAAGGGTATCTGGGAGGTATCTGGGCCTGTGGACCTCTGGTGTGATTCCGGTGCAATGAACTGTAATCTGTTGGGGTTCTTGGGGCAGTTGGCCTTTACATGCCCCAGCTCGTTACATTTAAAACATCGTCCAGCTGACGGGTCACTGGGGTGAGGAGGGTTGCTGGAGAACGGGGTGGTGGGACGATAAGGGGTCTGGAGGGTTCTTTGGGAGGTAGGTGGGGCTTTGGGCGGCCCCCGGTAATAAGGTGTGGTCTGGGGTGGTCCCTTCTGGTCTCCGCTCCAACTGCGACCAGTTTTCTTCTTCTCTGCCACCTCCACCCATCTGGCTCCAATCTCTCCTGCCTCAATTACAGTTTTGGGTTTCCCATCTAGGATGTATCTTTCTATTTCCTCAGGAACACCCTCTAAGAATTGTTCCATTTGCATTAGGAAGGGCAAATTTACTGGAGATTCAACACTTGCTCCTGATATCCAGGCATCCCAATGTTTCCCAATGTGGTAGGCATGTCGGGTAAATGACATGTCTGGTTTCCACCTTAGGGCTCTGAACCTCCGACGAGACTGCTTGGGTGTTATCCCCTTTCTGACTCTCGCCTTGGATTTAAACAGTTCATACTTGTTCATGTGTTCTTTAGGCATTTCAGCTGCCACCTCAGCTAAGGGTCCACTGAGCTGCGGCCTCAGCTCTACCATGTATTGGTCAGTAGAGATGTTGTACCCAAGGCAGGCCCTTTCGAAGTTTTCTAGGAAGGCCTCAGTATCATCGCCTGCCTTGTAGGTGGGGAACTTTCTGGGATGGGAAGTGGTACTTGGAGAAGGATTACTAGGGTTTGTTGGGATATTCTGCTGAGCCTTTATCTTCTCCATCTCCTCCACATACTTCCTCTCTTTTTCCTTCTCCTCCAGTTCTTTGTCCCTTGCTTCCATAGCTCTCCTGTGAGCAGCCGCTTGGTGTTGTTCTGCTTCTCTCGCTGCCTCCCTTTCTTGTTCCTTCTTCAGCCGCATGAGTTCTAACTGTCTTTCATGTTCCCTTTGTCTTTCCTCAGCCTGAAATTTGGCTAATTCCAGCTGTAGTCGAGCTGAGGATTTGGTCATTCTAACCTCTCTGTTTTTAACTAACTTTACACCCGAGGTTTAGAAATAAACAAACAAAACTTGGCTGTAAAATTTTGCTGTGCTGCAATAGAATACCTATTCTCTGATAGTGATTGTCAGCCTACAGAAAAAGACAATTCCCTTGTCTCTGCTCTGGGCCCAAATTAAAGCAAAAAACCTCCAACTACTTGGAAACCTGCTTACCCAGCCCAAAGAAAAAGCAAATGGGTAGAACACACACCCCCTATTTACTTTTAGGAAGAAAAGAAAAAAAAACCTCTGGATTGGAAGATTTCCCTGCAGGAGTTAAGTACCCTGCCTCCAGGCAAAGAAAACCTGCAATTCACAAGATAATCCCCTTTTGTCTCTGCTTGGCCACAAAGCAGAGAGAAACCAAGCTGCTTTCAGTTTCAAAGCTGCTTTCTGGACTTTCTTTCCAAAGAAAAAAAAAATTTCCTTTTTAAAATCTGTATTTCTAGTTCAAAAAATCTCAACTGGATCTCAAATGATTTCAGGTTAATCCCACCACTGTGCCACCATGTCAAGGTTCCTCCCCCACTCTGAACTCTAGGGTACAGATGTGGGGACCTGCATGAAAAACCTCCTAAGCTTATCTTTACCAGCTTAGGTCAAAACTTCCCCAAGGTACAAAATATTACACCCGTTATCCTTGGAATGGCCGCTACCACCACCAAACAATTACTGGTTACTGGGGAAGAGCTGTTTGGACGCGTCTGTCCCCCCAAAATACTTCCCAAAACCTTGCACCCCACTTCCTGGACAAGGTTTGGTAAAAAGCCTCACCAATTTGCCTAGGTGACTACAGACCCAGACCCTTGGATCTTAAGAACAATGAACAATCCTCCCAACACTTGCACCCCCCCTTTCCTGGGAAATGTTGGATAAAAAGCCTCACCAATTTGCATAGGTGACCATAGACCCAAACCCTTGGATCTAGGAACAATGAAAAAGCAGTCAGTTTTTTACAAGAAGACTTTTAATAAAAAATAGAAGTAAATAGAAATAAAGAAATCCCCCCTGTAAAATCAGGATGGTAGATATCTTACAGGGTAATTAGATTCAAAAACATAGAGAACCCCTCTAGGCAAAAGCTTAAGTTACAAAAAAGATACACAGACAGAAATAGTTATTCTATTCAGCACAATGCTTTTCTCAGCCATTTAAAGAAATCATAATCTAACACATACCTAGCTAGATTACTTACTAAAAGTTCTAAGACTCCATTCCTGGTCTGTCTCTGGCAAGAGCAGCATACAGATAGACACAGACCCTCTGTTTCTCTCCCTCCTCCCAGCTTTTGAAAGTATCTTGTCTCCTCATTGGTCATTTTGGTCAGGTGCCAGCGAGGTTACCTTTAGCTTCTTAACCCTTTACAGGTGAGAGGAGCTTTCCCCTGGCCAGGAGGGATTTCAAAGGGGTTTACCCTTCCCTTTATATTTATGACAACATCCCATATAATGTATGGTATAGATTCAATAATATAAATAGTAATATATTCTGGTTTATATTTCACAAGAAAGTAGGACTAGAAACTACGAACTATATGGGGAAGTTCCCTTATGGTGAAATCTTAATTTCTGAACAGATCCTTTTCTGATGAAATTTTTCAAGCATGACTTCAGCCCGGTGACAACGTTTTCCTCTGAATGTTTATACAACGTTGGGTCATGCATTTTTGAATTATGCATTGTGACCCGGTACAAGGGCACTTGTTAGCCCAGATCCTATAGGTTTTGGGCAGCAGCCAGTTAACCCTGACCTATTAGAGGAAGCATATGAAATATAAAGGGCTGCCTTGGAGACAGCAAGCGGGGAAAATAGCTGGGTGTGAGCTGCACCCGTGCCCACAGGTTTTTAGAGCTGGAGGGACTGCTGAACGTTGAGTGTGGCTGTTGTCTTGGTTTACTACTGTTGTGTTGATTTGAACTTTTTATGAGTTCCCATAAATGGGTCGCTGAGGAGAAGGGACCAGGACTGATTGACTGGCCATCTGACTGTTTATTTGGGCTGGGAAAACATGACACCAGATCACATATGGTAGAGAATGTGGGCAGCTGATCTGGCTTGAAACTGAACACCAGTGCTGCTAAAATGGAAAAGGAATCCCATCTCCAATGGCATGTGAAGCAGAAGCAGCAACTCCAGTTCCAGCGATTTATGGACCAACTGCAGCAGATCATTCTCTGTCTTGTGAACCAGGGATCCCTTGGAGTCCAAGGAGTAGAGGTAGATGCATAGTCCGTAGAGACGTGAGAGGGGAAGGGGCCCTGACCAAGATGGGGCCGGAAGATGATTGGGAAGGGTACTTGGAGATATTTTAGTGGCTGGCCCTGGCACACCAGTGGCCCCAGGGGCAATTGTCCCTCCAGTTGGCCCCCTATCTGACAGGAGGCTCAGGGCCTAAGACTGCACTATGGTCAGGGATTATAGAGCCCTTAGGCTGCTATTTTGGACCAGCTGGGTCTCATTGTGGAGAGGTACTACCCACGGTTCCAGGCTGAAGCCTTCACCCTGGGCTCTCGCCCCTGGGCTGCTGCACAATGCCTCCTAGACTTTGGCTGCTGGTGGCTAAGGCCAGAATTTGAGTTCCCCAGGGAAATCATCGAACTGGTGGTACTCAAGTAGTTCTGTCATGTTGTGCTTACTAGGACCCCAGGAGTGGATTTACTGGCATGGGGCAGCCAAACTGGAGACCGCAGTGCGTTTGGTTGAGAACTTTTTGGAGGCTGAACTAGACTGGGGGTCACCTGTCTGACCTGAATCAGGAGAAGTGGGTCCATTGGCTTCCCCCTGCAAGGTGTTGGTGTCATGAAAGAGGAGACAATGCAGGGATTTGAGAGGGTCATGGGAAGGCTGTTCTGTGGGTTGGGACAGCCACCCCCCCCGCCCACTGGAGACTACTCCTCCTTTGGGGGCAATGGTCCCCAAAGGGTAAATTAGGTGGGGATTAAAGGGGCCGGTGAGAGAAGGGGAGCAGACAGGAGCTGCAGAATCTGCTTCCTTGCTGATGACCAATACTGACCAGAGGGGTACTGGTACAACCTGAGGGACAGGAAGGAGCTCAAATCTGCTTCAGCTGTGGGCAGGATGGCCATGGCTACAGCTTCTGCACCCTTATGGAATGTGACTATGTCATAGCCTGCTCCTCCAAGACCTCATCATTCCTCAGGGAGCTCAGTGCTCTAGTTATCCCCAATACAGTCAATGGGGTTGGTTGACTCCAGCTCTAGCCAGACATTTTTCCATGAGCAGCTATTGGGACCCAATTTCCCAAGGATTGGACGGGAGGGTATTGCTGATAGGTTGTATTTATGGGTATTTCCAACCATTTCCCACTATCCAACTTAAGCTGCCCATAAACAGGAGAGCTGCAAAGTTGGTGGTGGCTGGGTCAAAAGAATTGCCATATCCAGTGGTGCTGGGTCGGGTCTGGGGACCGGTAATGGGCCTGCTACAGGACCCTGCCTGGATCCCAGCGCATAGGAGGAGGCTGATATACTGCTTAGGAAGAGCTTCCTCTTTGCTGATCCTGACTTTGCTGACTTTGCTGATCCTGACTACCCCAATGCAGAAAACACATAAGGAGCGCCATCTTGCCCAGAAGCAAACTGTACTACCACATAAGATCTGAGGAGGTGGGCCCATAAATCCACTGCCACCCACTGTGGTTCAAATCCCCTGTAGGTAACCCTGCAGAGGTCAGACTTCCAGATACAACAGGCTAGGGCAACTCAGGGTCCCAGGGGCCCTACAGATCCTGATCCAGAGCCAGTGCAACAAATATAGAAGAGCACAGTGACACAGAGTAATTTGGACACCCTGATAGATCCACACAAGGGTTATTACTTTTGGTGATCCTGTTGATGGAAAATTAGTCTCTCACCAACTCCAGTGACTTTGTTCAAGAACACCAAAATGATGGAGTGTTTAGCTGTTTGTCTGGGCATCTGGCCAGGGTGAACAGGACCCTGGTGCATGAGGTATAGGATGCACAGTACCCACACTTTGAACTTGAGGGAGATGTTCTGATTCAGGTGGTCAAAGAGTCCAAACTGGGATATGCCAGTCACAACTGCTGGTTCCCAGCTCCTCAGGCTGGCCCACAAAATACCTTGGTCTGGTCACTTAGGCGTGAAAAACCAAACCAAACCAGAAATGGGTATGGGCTCATTTCTTTTGGCTAGAGATATGTCAAGAGGTTAAGGACTCTTGATTCTATGATTCCATGACTAGTGCACCTCTTGTCCTGAATGCCAGCTGGTGAGTCCCCAATCTATTCAAAGGGCCCCCTTGGTTCCTCCTTCCCTGGTAGATATATCATTTGACTGCACTGGGGTAGATTTAATCTGGCCCCTTCAGCCTATGGCCAGGGCGTGCTGCTATATATTATTTGTTTATCTTGGACGACACCAGCTGGTACCCTAAAGCCATTCCCCTGCAGTCAGTGTCAGCCCAAATGGTTGCAGATGAGTTGCTAAAGGCGTTTTCTCAGGTAGGCATCCCCAGGGTGATGCTGACTGATTAAGGCACCACCTTCATGTTAAGGCTACTGCATGAAGTTTGCTCCCTACTTAACAAAGTCCATAAGAACCTCAGTCTGCCGGCTCCAAACAGAAGGGTTGGTGGAGTGTTGTAACCGGCCCCTAAAGGGAATACTGTGCAAATTCATCACAGCCAAATCCCACAATGGGGACAGAGTACTGCCACAGCTCATGTTTGCTGTCAGGGAGGTGCCCCAGTCTTCTACGGGGTTCTTTCCTTTCAAGTGGCTATATGGAAGGCCGCCCCATGGAGTTCTGTTCCTTGTGTAGGGAGCCTGGCAAGATCAAGGGGACTAAGGCTGAGAATGCCGTCCAATATGTCCTGAATCTTCTGAGACTGTAGTTAACGAGGGCCTTTGCCAAGCAGAAATATACAGGCTGTGACGCCCACACAGAAGCAGTATTACAAGAGCATTGCGAGGCAGAGGGTTTATCAGCCTTGGGACCCAGCCCTGGTATTGCTACCTAGCGCCAAGAGCAAATTGCTGGCTAAATGGCAGGGCCCCTTTGAGATAGTGCTGGGTGGGGAAAGATTATGAGATTTGGCTAGCTGGAAAGAGACAGGGCATCCAGATGGACCATGTGAACTTACTGAAGCCCTGGAATGGCTGAAAGGCCATGTTTATCCACCCAGTCCCACAGGAACTAGACTAAGGCCCTCAAATACCAGAGGTGGGGTCTGTCCTGCTGTAACTCTGGGAGACAACCTCACCATCCAGAGATCAAGCCCGCAAGCTAATCCAGAGCCTTTACGACATCATCACCATCAAGCCTGGGAGGACGCACCTCACTGAGCACCACACACAAATTATCCCAGATGTTAAGTACAGAAAGGAAAATTCCGGATGTAGGGATAGTCAAGGAGTCACCAAGTGAATGGGGTGGCCCCATTGATTGATTTAGTAGCCAAACCTGACAAGTGTGTTCCCTTTTGTATTGATCTTAGAGAGGTTAATGTCGTGTAGAGGTTCAGAACATATCCCATGCCCAGAATATATGAGATGCTGGAAAGGCTGGGTAGGGCCTGCTTAATAACCATACTAGATCTTATAAAAGGCTACTGGCACCAGAGTCTAAAGATGAGACAGCCTTTGCCACCCTTTTTAGCCTCTCTCAGTTTTGAACTCTCCCATCTGGACGCTGTGGGGGCTCCCGCCACTTTCCAGTGGTTAATGGATAGGGTACTGCAGCCCCACCGGCGGTGCTCAGAGGCCTATCTCAATTACATTGTTGTCTATTGTAGCACTAGGGAACATCACCTCAAGTGGATCGCCACTGTCCTGCAGTCTCAAAGGGAGGCAGGCCTAACGCTAGCTCTGCAAAGTGAAAGGTGGGTTGTGCCGAAACAAAATACTTAGCATGCGCCCTGGGGAATGGACGAATCTGACCCTTAGCCAGCAAGGGAACAGCCCTGTTAGAGTGCCCAATTCCCAACCACCAAAAGGCAGGTCAACTCGTTTTGGGGGTTAACAAGATACTATATGTGGTCTGTCCCTGGGTTTCCCACTCCTCACCGCCCCCATGGACCTCCTGAAGGATAAGTTGGCTTCAGGCTACATAGGTGCATTTGGCACACTCAGGCACATCTTCTGCAGCAAACCAGTGCTGCTGAGCCTGGATTTTACCAAAGAATTCATACTACAAACACATGCCTCCTTAAGGTGGTTCCATGCAGGTGGTGGAAGATGGAGAACACCCCATCGTATATCTCAGTAG